CCTGGTGCTCTCGCATAGAATGATGGCCTATGACCATATTTGGTAATGAATGCATCTTGAACTGCATCATACCTGATGAAAYATGGAATCAAATAATTACATCATAGAAAGAAAGAGAGTAGGTAGATTTTTGAAATCTACTTAACAAAGACCATAAGAATCGCGATCTTCCAGTCAACTGGCAGCTAAACATTGAGCTTAATAAGATTTCGTGTCTTTTGCCTGGCCTACATTGGATCGCATAGCAAAGCACACAATTAATACATCTAGATATTGGTACGTATCTAGAAACTAAAATCTTTACAAAGTTGTGTGTTTAGAAGTGAATAGTTCCTGACATAAAGCCGACAGAAGATGGACCTAAGTCAACCAGATGACTYAAACATCGTGAATCAATTTTGTCATCAAAAATTGTCAGAATTGTTTCAAACTTGCCTCACCTCTTCTGCATCTTTTTAGCTGAATCATGATATATTAATTCTAGAGATCCAAACAACGGAGGGCTGCTTTCTAAGCGAGGTTTTTTCACTTCCGGCTCCGATTCGTCCGCCATCTTTGTGTCACGAGAGTGTGTTACAAAAACCCGAATGGATACCGGAACTTTTCCGAATGATTTCCGAACATTACAGAAAAAGAATTCCTGGATTTTAACACAAAAATTTCTAATTTATGCATCTGACATTATCTCGGCAGAAGGTAGGAAAAGGTGAAAAGTTTTTTTTTAGTAAAGTGTTTATCTTAGAAGCGCGAATAGTTATCATTGAAAACTCTTTCAAAAGCTATGATGATATTTTTTCATTTCATGGGACACTGCCATCTCTAGTAATGCGCCGAAAGCAAGCGGTTTTGTAAATTATATGTTCAAAATATAGCTAGAATTCTTCTCACCTTTTGTGCGTTTTGCTGGTAGAGTCATGATAGATTTGCTCTAGTTTTGWCAATAAAGGAGGGCTTGTTTCTTTGCGCGGTTCTTTGACTTCCGGCAAATTTTCTTTCTCCATTTMTACGAGTCACGAGCAAGGCATATGACCACCTGATACAATTACAACTGGTTCTCGAGTACTAATGTAACAAATATGCACGAACCTACGCCGAATAATTCCGAATCTATAATTACTTCCGCTTTCCGAACACTGCTGATAAGTGATCGCAGGCTCGATTGTAATTCTTGCATACTGAGAACCAACTTCTGACAATAACATTGTTTTGATAACCATTTGACAGCCAAGAAATACTGAGCCCTTCTTAATGGCGACACGGAGKCTTTCTCTTGCATCTCGACATTGCAAAATCATGCTATTTAGCCATATTGTGCATTTTGTAGGAAGTTTGTAGGATGTCAACACATTTCTATGTCCCCTCACAACTCTACACTGAAAACCCGATGCAGAATTTAACTCATTTGTCTCCAATTTCYTCGGGTTTAATGGCGTTCCAGAGGAAGAAAGGGTCCAGTCCTGTCGTCCTCACAATAACAGGTAAATCTATCAAGAACTGAGTTAACATTTCCAAAGAATTGGAACCTTTTTTGATCTAAATATAACTTAAAAGTCACATGACTAAAGTCTTTAAACATTGAGCTCGTATATTGCTGTTTTGGTCGAATGATCTGATTTATTAAATTATTAAATTTGTATATCTAAATAGGAGAAATGTATAGAAACCATTTAATTCACTTTTGCTTTAGATTGCAGATTCCTTTTAAAAATGAAAGTTCGCATTTTATTAGCTATTMGAGTTTAAACACAGGAAGTATTGATGTATAAGCGTTAGATCTCAAGAAAATCTGAAATAAATCACACAAGTGTTTACTCAAACTCCTTCATATGATGGTTTTAAAACATGTTCTGCATTTAACCAGGAAATGACTGCACATGTCTCACATAGACTTTCTTGATTGATTATATGAATTCATTACTCAACAATTGAGTAATCTTTCCAAGGTCTATTCAATTATCCCTTGCTTTGAGCTTTATGTAAGGGGGAATTTAGTGGGGGGAGGTGAAGGGGCTGAGCTGCAGTTGATAGGTACAGGACTTTAAAGACCTCCACTTCGTAAATTGCTTGAATGGTTAAATATATGGTTTTCTATCAGGCAGCAGTTGAAAATAATTTAACACTTGCTACTTTACTAGACCAGCTGTCTATTTTTTTCTACTAATACATTGATCCCACAATTAATGTCATTACTGTTTGGTTAATTATAGTTATTGAAGGACGCAACCTGTCAGTTATGGACCCTAACGGCAAATCTGACCCATACTGTGTAATAGTAGTGGGCGATCAACAGCAGTCGACCAATGTACAATACAGTACACTTAACCCTGAATGGAGAGAGACATTTAAGTTTGAGTTATCAGCTATACCACAGATTAAGGATACAGGTATATAATTAAAATTATGTAGTATAACATATTAAATGTAACTATCATCATAATGTGTGAATATTTTATAGTTATAATGCAGTATTGTGATTACCTGGTGACAATCAGCTGAGTTCAAGCTACCTTGTATTCATGAGTTGTCCACGAGTTTTCTTTATTAATTGAAGGAAGTACATTTATGTTGTGTCTTTCTTGTTGCCATTTTGTTCTCACTAGGAAACAAAACTAGCACACTAAGATGTTTCTTAACAATATTTTATTAGACCATGAGGTCAAGTGGACTGCAAGTTCATAGTCCATGAATCAACCTGTGGACTACAAAATTATAAGTAGTCTTATTGTTTTTGTATCATGAAACTGAGAATTATAAAAAAATTTCTRGACATTATTTGGACAATGTCTCTTTTTTTTCTTGATGCAACCATGGTCTAGCATTAATAGACCATAGATCAGCAGGCAATGATAATGCTGACTTGTGATATTCCATAATCTGTGGCTCCGAATACAAATAATATGTAGCCTCTTCTGTGCTGCTTGCTAGTAACTCTTGTTTGGGATTCCTGTGTTGGTAGCATAGATGATTTAAAAAGTTTGAAAAATAAAAATTAATAATATATGAATACTACTAATAATAATAACTTAAATGATTTATTATTTTGTTTCAGATGAAAATTATGGATGTTTAATACATTACATCAATGTCGACGTGTGGGATAAAGACACTTTGAATAGGGACGACTTTATGGGGAGAGTTGTAATACCAATATCAATCCTTAATGAACATCGTACATCYGSATGGTATRCTCTTGGCAGAGCTGCACCCAAGGATGAAGTAACAGGGGATATATATTTAGAAATATCACTTGTCGCACAACAGCCAATCATACGCTGGGATGTTGATAATGAACTGTTGGTGATGTGTAAGAAGAGACATGGTTTTGAACTGCCTTTTGTGTCGGGAGAATCTATAATGCATTTCCCAGGTCAGTTGTGATAAGTTGATATTACTTCTTGATGTTGGATTAAGTGTTTCCAGGAAATTAAGCATCTATTGCAAGACAGAGTCTTTTGGGACTTTAGAAAACAGATAAATTATTGAATGTATGATCAATTGGATAAAATGAATATTAAGCAGATGAATGGATGAACAAATGYATGAATGAACAAAGGAATGAATGAACAAATGAATGGATGAAAAAATTAAGGTGATAGACAAGTGAATTGTTTTACTTGTAWTTATTGGGTGTCAGGTAATTTCGGCCCCCAGTAGTTTAGCCCCCAATCTTTTCAGGTAATCTCGCCSCCACCATTGCTTTATCCAAAGTATTCTCGCCCCAGTAAAAATTCCACCTTAAACGTAAGATCCTGCTTATTTCTTCGTTTTTCGTTGGAAGTATTAACAAATTTATTGCGAGATTACTGTCGAAATAACTGTCCAACCTATTGCAGGTAAAGCTGAGCACGTGGAGATGATTTTTGACGATGTTGTGATTGAAATCAGTAAACATCGGGGAATTGGAAGGATCTATCTCACTGATTTTAGGTAAGGGGAGTTAAACTACAATGAAAATTAGCATCGCTTTACCAAAACAACTCCAAGGGCCCTCCAAGACAAAAGCATTGAAAATGCTCTTTGTTCATTGGCTCAATAACCACGCAGTTTTCAGTTTGATTTATTGACTTATGTTTCTCAGAGCTAGATTTTAGGAGAATTTATAGTAATACTGAGAAGTTTGGATTAAAATTTCTGTTCCCGCTGTGTAAAATAAACTTATCACATTACTGATGTCCTGTCTGCAATCAGTAGCACCGTGAATGCTAACTTATGCAAATTAGTTTTTATCGGGCATTTTTACAAGTCTTCTCGTAGATAAGCCGCACCCCTGAATTGGGAACAATTTTTTGGAAAAAAAGTGGGGCTTATACATGGGTAAATACGATAGATTATAATGTTCTCACGTCAAGCATATCCAATGTTATATACTGTTAGTTTTGGTATAATCTACAATCAAAAGCATCCAAGGGAAGTTGTTCAAAATCTGCTGTTGGTTGAACACTTACAGTGTCACAGTCAGAATTACAGTCTTTGTTCTAACTGCAGTGTATTGCCATCTTATGTTGCAGACTAATTATATTGTGCAATACATCAAACCATGCTGGTGTTGGACACAGGGTGAGTGTTTGTAATAAATGATTGGTCATTACTTTTGAGTTAAAGTAGGGTGGTGTTTCCAGGAATTTCWAATTATGTTTGTAAAAGTTCTAATGTGTGTCTGCAGGATATGTCCATGTGGGTTGCACTGAACAATATTCAAGCKGTCGATAAAGGAGAGGATGAGAAGGTGACAATTATCGTATGATAATAATTAATGTTATAATCTTCATCATTATGTTAATGAGTTGATTCTGTAGGTTGTAAAGAGAACCACAGGTGGAAATGCTGCATTTGCTGATGTTAAAACCCTTACTGTCCGCTGTCATGACTTCCGTACAATATATCTAACATTCATGAARAGCCATCAACCGCAACAAGGAATGTTCTTTCTCCCTGCTGGCACCAATAGCAGTCAGTCAAGTCCTGACTCCATACCAGGCTCTGCTCATCAAATGGCTGCAGAGGGAGGAGTGGAACCTATTGATAAAATTCAAGATGTTGCTGTTCCCGAACTAGAGAAATTGCATTCAGGTGTCTGTGTTTATCTGTACCTTCTCCAATCTCATTCTCTCTATTGTCTTTCTTTTTCTTTTCTTTTTGTCCTTCTTTTGTTRGTTTCCCTTCTCTGGTCTTTTCTGCAAGTTTCTCACACTTTTTGAAATCTTGTTATAGACATCAATAATTTCCATGCATTTATTTCACTTGCACATAATATGGGTGAACAATATCGACTGTGGGAGTTGTATCGAATGGATTCAGTGTTTCATTACATTCTTCTTGCAATCTACTCTATCCCCGCCACAACATAGCTCTGTTTTCTCTCAAATTTTTTCCTCGTTAGAGCTCTTTACTATTAGACTTGTCTAAGTTTAACAAGGTACCTTATGAGAGTTTCTCAAACTTTAGCAATTATTTTCCAGGTGACGGTATTGCATCGCCACTCCCRAACATCAGTCAAGATGACATCACAAGATCAAGTAGCCACAGTAGTTTCCAGGTCCTTTCCAAGAGTAGCAGRAGTGGAAGTGTAGATGGACTGGTACCTACTGGTGTATTAGGWGTGGCTTGTGTTGCTAGTCCAACATCATTACCAGATAAACTCATAACCGATCATAATGATGTCATCAAGTAAGATGAGTAATGTGATGGTTTTTTATGCCATAACATTTTTTATATCTTAAGTGTCTTGGATCAAATTAAGCCATGCTTACAACATTTTTAAGMTCAAAAACGACTATTTTCTTAGTTAGGAAATTTTTGCAAAAATTCTTAGAAAGTATTCCTTGCCTGGGGATTTTTTTTTGTCCTGAATTTCTTGCTGGCAACCAGTTGTGACTTACAGCTGGCTTGGACGTAAGAACAGATATATTTAGAGAGTTTTAGATACGAGTTTATGGCGAACGACAAACCTCAAAACTGATCATGTGCTCACTGTTTTTCTGTATAGTGCTGCGTTTTTTTCACGATTGTATATAAAATAGATCACACTTTCGTACATAAGCGCATCACTATTCCTTTCGAAGCATTTTTATGTTTTTTTGAAATTTTGAGACAAAGCATGAAAAAAATTTGACGTTTGGCATTTGCAGTAAACGCAAATCTAAAACTCTCTATTTCTCCGAGGAACCGATCGGCCTACTCCTAACAGTTGCACGTATAAATTAGGAAAGTTGTACAAAAAAGTTGTAGGAAACATTTGTGCTGTTAAGTGTAAATTTGCCTTAAARACAATTTTCTTGTTAATGACAATGTCTTTGTTGTTTTCAGTTTCTTGCCATTCTATGTGAATGTCCTATTCCAAAGAATTGCTTTCCATATTATGAACTCCATYGACAACCCACCATCAAAGATGTTTGTAAAGTAAGAATCCAGTTGGTTTTCCATTTTTTTGTGAAAGCTACATCAGTTGATTGTTTTCACTCATTCCCATGACATTCAATAGACAAAAGACTGGRGGCCATGTTGGTTGAATGAGAAATCCTTTGTTGAAGTTCAACCAAGATGGCTGTGTATGTTGCCAATGATAAATAGTTAGGCCCATTAAGCATTGTTTAATAACATGATTAGCATGATTTAGTGCAGCTGGATTCTCTTAAACCAATGAAAGTATAATAGAAAGAAGAATAATTATTTTTAATTATGGTAATTATCCCTGTAGGCACCATTCTTCAGATCTCAAGCTTGAATGTTGGTCAGTTTATGATGCACAAGAAGAGTTTGCTAGACAAGAGGTGATTGTTTTTAATTCTTAATAAATAATGATAGCTTTGGCAGTGCAAATAAAGGAAAGAGGAAGGGAATATAAATATACAAACATACTCATGCACTCTGCAACACCAGCTGGGTTACTAGAGCTATAGTATTAGATGTCCATTTATTTCCCAAAATGGACCTGAGGATTTAGCACAAATGTGAATTGTATATGGATGGGACTTTTGGATTTACCTCCTTTCCGATCAATGAATGAAAACAGTGCAATAATAAAAACGTAACAATTAAAACACGAGTAAAAGATCGAGTTATATTTTACTAAAATATTGTTCTTATTGTGTTGTTAGCTGTCCAGTAAATGGAGAATATCCAAGGCAAACATTGACTTTGGAATCTGTTTATCTTATCCAAAGTTCCTTGTTGTTCCTTATGCCATTGAGGTAGAAAAATGTTACAATTATACACGATATACAACAGTCACAACGTACAGTCCATGGCGAGCCATGGTAAAACATTTCTTTCTTATTTTTTCCAGGATGACACATTAAGAGGTTGTTCTTCGTTCCGATGCAAAGGTCGAATTGCTGCCTTGTCCTGGTTCAACAAAAAGAAAGGAAACTTTATCATGAGATGTGCACAACCAAAGACTGGAGCTATGGGAAAGGTATATCTTACCCTTTAATATCATTAGGGTATAGAGTGGTCATCAGTGTAGGCCAGACTCCATGCTATGTTTGATTATCTCCCTTCGTGAGAGTTTCACTCAAGATCCAGGGGTTAATGATTAAGGCTGATTTACACGGCACGATTGTCTCGTGCGATTTGTAGTATACGACTTGAATCGCGCAGTGTAAATGCCCCTACGACTTGTCTACAACAGTCGTACGCAACCTACGACTTGTAGTAGGATTTTGAACCACTGCTTAAAATCCTACGACTTGTAGTAGGAAAATCGTATACTACAAGTCGCGCGCGACAAATCGTACCGTGTAAATCAGCCTTTAGTATCAAGCTCTATTATCTTTGCAGTTTTCAACTGAAGATGAAGAAATTATCAGCACAGCACGGCAATGTAATCCTTCTTCAGATCGTCTTGTCATCTTTGATGCTCGTTCAATGATGGCTGCCAGTGGCAACATGCTAATGGTAAGACACACTACATCCGTATTCCTGTACATGACTGGGGCAAGCATAGAAGTGAGGCTTATGGGTAGTGTGAGTTGAAACACTTGGACAAATGAATGTACTTAAATAAGGCTTTGTCAAGAACAGATAAGAGCTCCAGTCATTACCAGGCTGTAATATGGTTTTCCTGGACACACCTAACATACGTGTAGTGTAGGATGGTCCAAATAGACTTGTTATTGATTATTAATAGTATTTATAAGTGGTTATTTTTACAGGGAAAGGGAACAGAAGACACTCTCAATCGTTACCAGGGCTGTAATCTGGTATTCCTGGACATACCTAATATACATGCAGTGCGGGATAGTCTTGAAAGACTTCAGGCTGTCTGTGAATCATCGTCACAGAAAAAATGGCTGTCACATCTTGAGTCTACACAATGGCTGGCCTATATTGCTGCTATACTCAAGGTAGAAACCCTAGAATTTGATGTCTGCCTCCATCACAGCCTGTTCGTCTTGCACAGGAAGTCCAAATCTATAACAGGCTGCACAAGAGGCTTTAATTGAAACAACTACAGAATCATCATGTAAACCTTAACGTTAGAGCGGATTTCGCATGAGTGGGACACCGTTACCGCACGGTTACCGCACAGTTACCGGACCTGGCCTGCACAATTTTGGTGAACCAATGGGGCACTAGAATTTGGTTACAGTACGATTACGGTCACAGTACAGTACCGTCCGTTTCCCACTCATACGAAATCCGCTCTAAAACGTTACTGGTTTACAGCAGATGGTAATCGCTACAACACGGCTGCACAACGTACGTGTATAAAGAAAACATACAAAATCAGAGAATCCCTATGAACTGGAACTTGATCATTGTGGCACGCTYTAACAATCATGTTATATATTACATGATAAATTGTCTATTCAGTCCTAACAATGAGAATTATTTCAGGGTGCAACTACAATTGCCCGCTTTATCGAGAAAGGTGTATCAACACTGGTCCACTGCAGTGACGGATGGGATCGTACGTCACAATTGACGTCACTAGCTCAATTATTATTGGACCCTTACTACAGAACATTTAAAGGTTTACAGGTGAGCGAGGTGGTACATGGGGGTCACAAAGTAACCCTGACCTCCCCTTCAAAGACCATAGAATCTATCCATTGGTGCAGTGTGAAGATCTATTTTGTCGCTCTTCCATGAYTGTTTTGTGGTTAAAACGTCACAATATATAACTGTGACGTCACAAAAGATAACTATGACATCACACCGACGTCTTKTGACGTCATGTAGACAATTTGGATGGTAAAGACCCTCCATAATCAAAACTGAAACTGTTCACTCTTAAAAATCTATTAAGTAAACTTTGTAGTAAATTTTTATAGGTTTTGATTGACAAGGAATGGGTTTCATTTGGTCATCGATTCAAGGATCGACTTGGACATCCATCCTGTCCTGGTCAGCGTTCACCTATTTTCCTGCAATTCRTGGACTGTGTCTGGCAAATCCATCGACAGTTTCCATTTGCTTTTGAATTCACTGCTGAATATTTATTGAGAATAGCAGACCATGTTAATTCACAATGGTATGGTTGTTTTCTTCGCRACTGTTGTTGATGCGTTTGTTGTTGGTGTTGTTTTTGAATTGATATTGTTGGCACTTTATGGGATCTATTTGTTCTGTTGGTTGGCTAATTGGGTGGTAAGTCGGGTAGTTTATTGTTTGAATGATGTGTTGGTTAATTTYTTWTTTGGTTGTAGTTGTAGTTAGTTTATTTGTTGTAACTAGTAACTCGTTTGTTTTATTGGTCGCTTGTTATGCTTGCTTGTTTGTTTCAGTATAGTTAGTTGTATATTTATTCCGTTTATCCGATTTACTAGGTTTGGTAACTTTCTTCATAATAACGTTAGAGAGCGTCAGCTTGCGTTCATCAGTCGATCGACGGTATCCCTGTGGTCATATCTGGATGCCATCAAAGATGAACATAAAAACACTATATATACGCCGTCCAATGAGGTACGACTYTGGTCCTTATCCATTGTGACGTCATGCAATGTGCACCGAGATGCACTGTGGGATTGCCCAAAGRACAGATTGAAGCCTTGTGTTGGGTTTCATGCTGTTTGAGATACAACAAGTATTACATCCGCCATCTTTGATAGTTTCATCAATACCATGATGCACTTGGCGAAACAAAACATGACGTCATTAAGGGAATCATCATAGGTCATTATCAATATTACCATGATTTTAATGTCAGCATGTTTCCATGGTTTCAGGCATTACTACCAGCGTCCAGTCTTCGTCGTCTTCAGCTATGGTCTGATTACTTTCTGCGATACGACGAGACTGCCTGGTCAGCGGTAGACAACGCCCTGGATATCGACGAGGAAAACGATCAGGTCAGATCACGGGTTCCCTGTGTATGTTAATTTACCAATGGGTAAATTACACTCTTAAAGGGACATGGCCCACCAGCATTCAATGCGGTCGTGTTTTAGATTTTTCATATAGGAAAAGAGGTGACTTCGAATCAGTATCCATTCGTAATCCGCAAACTGCTCGGCTGCTTAAAGCGCCTTCAATAGCAGTCTGTCCAAGTCCCTCACTAACTATGCAATCCAGATGTAATTCATATCATAAGTCTGCGAAATCTAGAAAGTCAGCTACATCTATCTCTCTATCTCTCTATCCAAATATTACAGTATCTCCATTCATATAGTATAAAGGGATAATAAAGAGTAAGTTTTTGCTTATATTACGATGTATTTATATTTTCAAAAATGAGCTCGAAAAGGATGCTGTCCTTTTATGAGACATGGATMTTAATATTCAGGATAGGCGTAATCAAGATCCCGACATTATTGTACATTGTCTCTTTACTGATGTGCAAATTCATTGGGTGTATTTAGTGTTCAAAGGCACAACCAGACACTGTGGTATGGGTCCCGGATGAACGTGTCAAAGAATGCCATGACTGCAAACAACGGTTTACCAGGTTTAAGCGCAAGGTACACAATACCAGGAAATCTTTTCTTTGCTGTCAATTCTACTTTTCTGTATACGTTTTTTCGTTTTTTTCTCTTTTGTTGTTGTTGCTGTTGTTGTTGCTGTTGCTGTTGTTGTTGTGGTCGTTGTTGTTGTTGTTGTTGTTGTTGTTGCTGTTGCAGTTGTTGCTGTTGTTGTTGTGGTCGTTGTTGTTGTTGTTGCAGTTGTTGTTGTTGTTGCTGTTGCAGTTGTTGCTATTGTTGTTGTTGTTGTTGCTGTTGTTGTTGTTGCTGTTGTTGTTGTTGTTGTTGTTGCTGTTGCTGTTGTTGTTGTAGGTGTTCTTGGATCAGTCCCCGTCCTGTTGATAACTGTCGTAGTTGTTGTCTTTGTCGGGTTTGTCGTTGCTATTTTAAGGTACGAGTGTATTCCCACTAATGTTCTCTTTTTATCTTTATTTTTTCCTGGAATATTACCGTATTACCAGCACCATTGTCGGTAAGTACTTTAATTTTTATTTTTAAGTGGTTTCCACATTAGTTGAAAATAAATTGTACATTGTAATGTCATCACATGTTATTAGTAAATACTATTTTCAATCTCTTTCTATCTAGTGCTTGTGGTCAGGTTTTCTGTGGCGATTGCTCCAAGCAAAGAATCCGATTACCCCAGTTTGGATATACAAATCCTGAGCGAGTGTGTGAATCATGCTACCAGCAAAACAAACTACGAATCAAGGCAGACGAAGAGGTGAGAATCWAATGGGTTCCCTGTGCTGATTTAAGTGGGCGGAGGTTGTACCGGTTGTTTCGATGTTCAACCCCCATTGATTTAAATCCACACATGGGTTCACGCTGATGTTAGCTCCTTATAATACCTGTTCAGCATTTAATGAAATGGTATATTAATAAACATTATTATGGGCGTGGCAGGCATTTAAATTGCTTCTTCATGTCGCTGAGTTTGCTTGCTTAGCATTTAAATGGCTTCCTGTCGACAATTGGTTAACTTTCCGGGCTTTGAATGGCTTTTTAGCAACAGTTAGTGGCTTCCCTAACCTTTGAATGGCTTCTTGACGAAAGTTAGTCGCTTGCCTAGCATTTGAATGGCCTCTTGGCAACAGTGAGTCATGGGGTTGCCTAGCATTTGAATGGCTTCTTGACGACAATTAGTGTTGTGTTTCCTATCGTTTGAATCTTCTCTTTATCGACAATTAGCTGGCTAGCCTGACTTTTGAATGGCTTCTTTATGACAGTTGGTTTGTTAGGCATTAGTTTAGCTTCTCAACTACAGCTAGCTGGCTTGCCAGCCATTTTTAAAAATGAATTCTTAATGAGAGTTAATTGGCTTGCCAGGTTTTTTAATGGCTTCTTAGCGACAGTGCCTCGACTAACATAATAGCTTCTAAGTGAAAGTCAAGGGGCTTTTTAGCGACAGCTAGATGGCTTGTCTGACATTTGAATGGCTTTTTAACGACATTTAGTTGGCTTGTCTGACATTTCAATGTCTTCTTAACAAACGTTAGTTGGCTTGCCAGACATTTAAGTGGCTTTTTAACGACATTTAGCTGGCTTGTCTGACATATGAATGGCTTCTMAACGAGWGTTAGTTGACTTGKCAGGCTTTTAAATGGTAATGCAGCTGGTTGGATTTCCCGGCATTTTTTAGCCAGATATTTAGCAGTAACTTTTTGTGACTGACGTCTTTCCTTCAGGACGAGGATGAATTTGAGATTATCAACGCCCCCTCTGACTACTCGACTTAGTCCTCCTCTGACTGGGTCCTTTGATGTCTTTAAGGTGGTACTGTATTTTAAGAAAAAGGCATCAGAACGGAGCAACAATACTCAGCTTGTTGATAACGATGATACTCAGCGTGTTGATAACGATGATGACAGCGATAATGAGGAAGAGGAAGAGGGTCTCCATGCAATATACCCTTCGGATGACGAATTAGACATCAATGATGAACTYCATTATTTTGACATCTAATATGTTGTCATGGTAGCAGCATATCGACGGGATTGTTGACTGTAGAGTCGGTAAAGCCGTGAAACACTAACGGAATATTAGTGTGTAATTCTTGAACCATATCAAAGGAAGACAATTAAAATAAGTTCAAAGACAATCATAATAGTCTGCTAACTATTTCACGAGTTAAGTGTAACGTGATGAACATTTAATAATCTTTATTTGACCATGAGAGACTCGTCAAACTAATAGTAGATATCACACTCTGAATCTATTACTTTCTTTAGTTCTTCACCAATAAGAACAAACCAAGTAGTCTTATTCTTCCTTGTTCAACCTAAAAACCATTCAAGTTATAACTGAATAATACAGATACTAAATACTTTATTTTCTGTTTGTCCACTAAATACTGCTAAATTATGCTAATTCTATTGTTTTCTATTGTTTAATTAACACTATTTTGTAGTAAATAGTGGAAAGTGTTGCACACATTTAATGTTATTTTAAATAAGACTTTTTTTAGTTTAAAGGGGATGACCGCTGCTTCATTTCATTTTACAAAAGGGAGTCTGCTGTCACATAAGACAGCGGTCATCTACTTTGAATTTAAGAAAGGCAGATAATATAGTTTGTATATATTTCTCAATGGAGGGGACGGGATCTTTGTAGCGCCTTGCCTAGGATATTTTGAATCCCCAGACTCTACTTTTCGGATGCACATTCACTCGCATTAAATAAAAAAGCGTGGATTTCACTAGCGCATAAGCATAGGCATAAGGAGGAAGCACGAGAGTCATATGCGCCAGTGAGAACGGGCTCAAAATAAGCATAAGCATGAGCACAAGAAAAACGAGCAAGGCTTGATCTTTTTGTGCTTATCTCATGCTTATATGCTTAGTAAGAACGGGACGGCATGCACCGAAATAATAGGCTCGTGCGCATGCTCAATGTCTTATGCTTATGTCGAGCCCGTTCTCACTGGCACATATGATTCTCATGCCTGTGCTTATGCTATGCTTATGCGCTAGTGAAATCCACGCTAAAGAGATCAGAGTAAATTTTATATAAAAAGGATATAAACTATAGGTAACGTCTTCACTGTATGTGTGAAATAGTTAGCAAAATTTTCGCATCTTGGTGAGCATTCTTTGTTATTGTTTACTTAGTGCATTTAATTTAGGGTGATTTTCAAAATTCCGTGAAATAAAGTATAATAGTCAAATTATTCACCAAAGTACAGAAAAAACGTCCAAAATATGGAGAAATAATGTGTTGTACGCTGAAATGTATTTCACGGATTTATGGAAACCACTCTAATAATTATATCTTGTTGCTATTTGTAAAAACACATCAGTTACAATTCTACTTTTTTATATTTTGTATTTTTACTATTCTCAAAAAGCGCTGTACATGAGCAAATAAAATTATTATGAATGAGAGAAATGATAGAAATAAAAAATGATTTTTTTTAGACGAGCTCCTTACGTACATAATGAAAATAATRATTGAATACTGCACCCAGGCTATAATTTATCCTCTTCTTGATATTCAGTTCTGTTTTAAAGGGTTATTCTGTGTCAAAAAATGCAGGTTTTTGTCAAAAATGTAGTCAATTAAGCAGCTGTGTAGAAGATCTTACTTATTGTCAAACACATCCGCACTTTTAGAAAAATGAGTTTTTCCTATTTCATGAAATCCAATAAGTGAAAAGCAATAGTTTAGCAAGAACACAATAAATGCAGGACGACTGTGTCAATACGAACCGTAGATCAATTAGAAAGCTGTCAACAAACTTCCTAGTTATCGAGAAAATTATCTACGTCGTGTAGAATGCTGAAGTATCGAGGASATCCCCTCGCAAGGATCAAAGGAAAAATTGCGTTCTTTATTGGGTTTTTAGCTCTCTGTCTAAACTATTTGAAATGTGAAACCATTAGACTTTTAGTTATCGACTGTTGAAAGCATYATATATGTTTGTAAGAATGGAAATATAACGAAAAGAAACAGTTGCATGTATGTCCGTAGAAGAAGGCGTGTATTTCAGTTGAAATGTTAAACTAAACTAGGTACTTAAGAAAAAGAAAAATAGCTTTAGCTACAAGAAACAGAGAAAAGGATGGGTAAGAAGATGTTTAAAGCTTCAAGAATAAATTAGAGGTGAAATTATATCGAGTAGAGACATGATTCACTTTGAAAAACAGCCCAAGAAAGATAGCAAGAAGAGTCGATGATCGTACATTCAATGAATTTAGTATTTGTAAGTGTGTTTTCGTGTTTTTTTTAGGGAAATTGTTCCTAGCCAATGATAGTTTTTGGGAAAAAAAAACTAGATATACCAACATAGAATGATATCAACCAAGGACAATACTTAACCTTTATTATTTCGAATCTCAATATATTTTCTTTTCTAACAAAGTTTCAATTAACGGACTAAAAATAGAATACCTGCTTTTTGTTAATTGTATTATAGCGGAATTTTATTGATCACGCTAAATTTACTAATTGCAAACTGWGTCACATCCTTTTAATCGAATCAAGAAAAGTGTCATRTCCATTAGGGAATTGAAAAAATCGCGCATCCAAATCGAGTTGAAATCGTGTGAAACCGTTGTTTGATATAGTGAATTCYTTTCCACAAAGTCCCATTGAGATTGTATTGTGTAGAGTTTGTTACTCAAATATCGCAGCAAAACCTGACTCATTAGCGCGATTTGATCAGGYCAATATAATTACCGTTCTCAATTGGRTTCCTTTTATAATAGRCAGTGCCTTTTAAATGGCTATTGCCTGTCAAAATGATAAATCATCTACTTTTCTTGTTTCTTTTGTGTTTGTAATAAATGAATACGTGCAAAGAGTATTTTACTTTTTCAACGAAAATGAAAATAACTTTAAATAGACCAGAAACTAGCGAAGATATACTCTGAAAGCACCACTACCTCCTCTTTTTACATGATATATACCGTGAAACAATGCTATACATCAATAAACGATTTCTTCCAATGAGTACGCGATAAACGAAGGCCTGTTCATTACGTAATGCCTTGAAGTTCCCGAACGTTAATAAAATCTGTTATTGAACCGCTCTTTATCATAGTTTTACCACTATTTTCACAGCACAAACAGTTTACTTAAAGGAAGCAAGCTAACAGGCAAGCATTTTGGTGCTTAAAAGAGTAAAATGCTGCAAGTTTTYTTTGTGGAGTGCTTTCTTGTTGTAAATATTTTGTTTGTTTTCATATCTACGTTTTTGTGTGCAAAAGACGTATTAAAAAGGCTCCCTTTTGGTATTAACAAATAATCAGTGTTCTGACAAAACAGTCCTTAGTTTATTTGTAAACACGTATAACTACATTGAGAAACAATTTGTGTTTTATATGTATGTTTAAAAACAGAACTGTATTGATTAAAATGTTGTATGATTTTTATGCTTTTTTTGTTAGAATGTATATATTTATTCAAAAAGGTTTAATGTAATTTTAGAAATATGATTTCATTATTCATAATTGCATAATCGTTTTTTTTTTTTTAATATGGAGCTAATTGTTTATGTAGTTGAGKCTCCATACTTTCCTTTCGACATATATTAAATTGTGATTAATCTCAGATCCATAACACCAAAGGAACGTGCAGAAAAAAATGACCAATTGTCATGACTTTGCCTTCTATTTCTATGACTTTTAGTCTCAAACGTTTAGCTCTTGGGATTCTACACTGTTCATGCACAAACCAGGCGCGTTTCAATGATATAACTCAGAATGACCCATGTGTTCCCAGGATTCTTATCGGTCTCAGGGTTTCAATTATCAACGTTAATCGTTTAAGTTTTTTCTGCGTTGTTGTCTTGTTATCTGTCCTCAAAAGAATGAAGAGCAATATAAAAAGGAGGCAAGGCTCTTAGACACTTTTGCGTGACGTTCTTGTAATGCATGTTTTTCATTCCTTTAGAACAGAAGAGAAGCGATACGAAAACGCATCAGTGTGAACGAAGGTTCACTGCGTTTTCGTGGCATTTTTTTGTTTTGTTTTTTTTCTTTCTTTCTCCCTTTTATTTTCCTTGAGGACGGGTGTTAGTGCGTTAATGTGGAGACTAGGGCCGAAAAGCTCACTGTATAGTGGTTGCTCTTCTTAAGTTAACGCGTTGTTTCTGAAGTACCTCACGTATTAAAGCTCTCACAGAGAAAACTCTTTAGTGTTACTTAGTGCGTTTAAGTGYATGTCACTCGGCGGGGGTTTTGAAACTCGTTCTATTTGAACCATTTTCAATGATACATTAAACAAGACCAGCTGAATTTCTAGTCCGTGTARGTCTAATTGCATGCGTTTTTTATTCGAACCTGCACGAAATATTTGAGATATAAGTGGCTATTTGTTATGTACAACAAGCTGTAATTGCAGGGGAAATGGCCTACATTAAAGCTATTTAATTTTGAAGAATTAAAGTTGTAAAAGGAATTGCTTTTACACGGCACTGAGCCTCCGCTTGTTCTTGTCAAGCTATTTTTCTGGTCATGTYAAACATTKATGATTTTAAATTGGTTTGAATCACATTAGCAGAATAAACTTTTGGTAACTTGAAAATTATATAAGAAGACTACATCATGTTACGTCCCTCTAAAAGTATCTGCACTGAAAGTATTTAACGTAAGGCATCACAGTTTAAGATTAAAAGGGTTTGACTTTGACCAGTTTCAAAATTACAAGACAATCTACTATACCAAGGGAAAAGAGCTTAAAGGGCTACTTGGACGAAAATTCGAATCATTAGAAAAGACTTGAAAATCAAATAGACCTATCCATATGGGTCTAATAATCATGAAGCAACAGATTTCAAGAAGATATTGATACAAACCCTTGATAATTTGGGCAAAAAAATGTTGGAGTAGATGACGTCATTTACTCCATTCTTTTGTTCTTCCATCTTTTGAATCAAAATTTCTCTGATGTGGGATAACTCCAAAACAAATATTTTCCCGCA